GTACAAGTATTTATATCGTAAAACTGATGTGTAGCTTGATCTTTAGGGGACAGGACCACCAACCAATACATGCAGATTTTGTGTGTGTGGACAGAAGGTACTTTTGACATTCAGTTTTGCTATATAGAAACAGAATGAGTAAATGAACTTTTTTTTTTTTTTGCAAGAGGTAAGTAAAAGATTCAATTTGATTCTTCTAGAAGGGGGGGAAAGGAGTTGAAAGTAGGCCTTCATTTTGCAGTCATCATCTGTACGAATTCTGTAAAGACAAATAATCATAGCTTTTGGTTATCTTCAAAAGCAGCTTGAATGAACACAACATCTCTACTCTGCATAAAGAAAATAAATAAAAATCAGTGTCTCATGAAGCAGTTAACTTGTTTATAGATACGAAAGGGAAGACTCTTAAAAACTAAGCTATAAGAGACTCTGCAGTGTTTTTACCTTCATAGTTGACTTGCCCATCTCCATCAATATCTGCTTCTCTGATCATTTCATCTACTTCTTCATCTGTTAGTTTTTCTCCTAAGTTGGTCATGACATGACGTAGCTCCGCTGCGCTGATGTAACCGTTGCCATCCTGTGAACATTAAGCAGGGGCTACTGAGGGTGGTGGAGAGGGCTTCTGAACGGGCACGCAAGTCTGGGACGTACTCGTGCCCTCACCCGGCACCGCCAGCTCTGCACACGGGGACAGGTCGCCCAGCTCCGGTCCCCGCCCAACCCACCAAGTGCAAGCCCTTGGTGAGCACCGAAAATGCAGGGGCTTGGCAAGCGCTAACAAACTGAAAGCAGCAATCAAGAAGCTTGGTTCCGAATTCCCCACTACTTATGCTCACCCTCACCCAATTTAAGGTTGCTGCAGTTAAGTCGGCTTATTTCAAAGTGAGATCAGCGCAGAGGCCCAGGCATTTTGGTTTAAGTGTTCGAAGTATTTCAGAAACGGGAGCAAAGAAGCCGTCCACGGGGACGGTCTGCAACACGGACGCAGATTTACCTTGTCAAAGACTCGGAATGCCTCGCGAATTTCTTCTTCACTGTCTGTATCTTTCATTTTTCTGGCCATCATAGTCAAAAATTCTGGGAAGTCGATGGTGCCATTTCCTCAAATTAAAAAACAAAAGCTCACATAAAATAAATGCTCCAGTGACGCTCCCTCCCCAGCAGTGATAATCTTTTCAAAGCACTTTAGAGAACGGTTAAGACTCACTTGGACAAACCGATCGGTTATTCTATGAGGTTAAACCATTTCTAAGTCTCAACTGTTCAAATACTTCGCAGGGCAATTTCACATATTCATGTAATTCAAACTAGTAATCAGGGTCCAGGAGAGCACTTCATGATGCAAAGAAAACTGCACGTGCAGATTCTTGACTACTAAAGGCGGTTATGCAGTTCAAGAAGAGAAAGCCCACAGCACCCTTCATTCCTGATGGAAGCACTCGAGACTGTCTCCTTCCCCCCGCCCAAGTGAGGGGTGAGCCCTCGGTCCTACCTCTGCCTTGGTTCGTGATGCTGGTCAAGGCCCAGAACTGGCCCGCCAGCACAACAAAATGTTTTTACAGAAGAAAAGGATTACGGGAAGGGGGAAAATGGACTTTCTTATGCCACGGACCATAAAGTATCACACAGTCTTCTCCAGAAGGGGTTTCCTGGCCACATTCTGATGAAATCACCTAATCATTTTTTCCTCCAACTCAGGGTCTTTGCTTCCTCATTAAGGGCAAGGCTCGGAAGTGTTTTCAAAGCTCAGACCATTACCACTTAGGAAACTGGGTCAGAAGCGTCTGTTCTACGGCCAGTATTCCAAGTAACTTCCCCCTCTAAAGCTAAGAGTTAGGCGAGCACCCCCCAAAGACAAACCAGCAGATTAACAATGTAAATTGAATTAAAGGAAACAAAATTAAATTAGAAGAAAAAGCCTCAGGTTAAGTTATTCATTTTCACCGGTACCTTTAAATCAAAATAATAATTCAGAAATCCCTTTGGCCTCCAAAATTTTAAAGCATTATGGTACTCATGCAAGACAAAGTAAATTATTTGAAGTGCTATCTCATAGCCATGCAGAGAAGACACCCTTAGGCATCACATTTATTCATCACAAATACGAGACTCTGTGGCCTGGGAAAACTCACTCCTTCCTTGTTCCATACAATCTAAGAGCCTAATCCATTCTGCCAGTCCCTAAGCACCGTTTCCCAGGGCTCACATAAGATGGGGGGTGGTCACCCCATGTTCCCAGATGGCCAATCATCGTAGCAGTCAAACAAGAGGGAATTATGAACTACCCCTTTTCCAGAACATTAATATGGACGAACACACCTTCCAAAGTAGCTTGAATGAGCTGAAACCACTTGCTAAAGAGCTCACCCAAAACCCCTGCTTCTAAATATACGTGACCAGACAAATTTAATTCTACTTTATCACCTTATGATATGTATGTTTAAATGGTTACTCTCAAGCCAATCATCTAGAAAGTAGTCTAGATCCAAACTGCTTATTCTTAGCTCATTTTTTAAAAATTTACCAGGCTCTACAATGTCATATATTAACTGCATATACATGGTTTCCAAAAAAGACAGTTTTTTGAGAGGGGAATGCTCAAGAATTGCTTACTGAGAAAAAGTGAGCAATAAAAGGTCTACTGTCCACTGTTCTAGAGTCCAGAGGAATCGGTGACCAGTTGGTGACCCCGTTACAGGGGGTACTGCTTGTTCCTTCTTGCTCTGCACTTTATTCATCTTCCCCTTCTGCTGGGTTCTATAATCTACTCCCTCCAGTCATCAAGCACTCCATGTCCAAGCCTTACATGATCCTCAAAATTCTCTGTAATAAACACATCTGCAGCTCACGCTGTACTCAATTCTACATTAATGTCTAACAGTGCTCTTCTCCCACTTCACTTCCCACTCCTCCTGGAGACAGTCAGCTTTTTGAAAAGTCTATGGCTATTTATTTTTACTTCCCCAAAGGACTCAGTGCAGACTCATGGGCCAGTTGATAAAAAAGATTGAGCTGTAGGTCACGGCAAGTAGAAAAGAACAATACGCCAATCTGATCCAGGAAATGTTCTAGACAGTGAGCACAGCCAAAGGCAGGCCATAATCTTCTATTTTCATTGTCAACGGCCCGTCAGGCAACCACCAAAAGGAGCGCTGCGCATTTGCTTTGCTCTGGGGACCTGAAAGACAATCTTGTGACATGTCTGAACTTGAATTACACAACACTGGCACTCATTCATAGGTTTGAGCCCTCACCGTCAGCATCCACCTCGTTGATCATATCCTGCAACTCGGCTTCTGTTGGGTTCTGACCCAGTGACCTCATGACAGTTCCAAGTTCCTTTGTTGTGATGGTTCCATCGCCATCTTTGTCAAATAGGGAGAAAGCTTCCTTGAACTCTGAAAACAAAAGTTTACCCTTTAGAATGAAGGTCTTCACCCAAACCGGCCACAGCACACACTTCCCTTGGGGGGCTTGCCAAAGCAAACCAAATGGCACTGAGAATTCTTACGCCAAGTCTGCAAATTATCAGAAGCTGCCCAGTCTTTATCTCCTGAAATAAAGACCACAATAGTCCTACTGGACCGGCCTTCATTCAACAGTCCATAAAGCAAACACTGCTCCTGGTTACCGGTTCCATAAAACCACAGTATTCTCATATTTTTAAAGAAAACTAAACTTAAACACACTTAAATTAGTCCTCAATCCAATCTGACAAGTGAAGATTGGTCCGCGGGTTCCCTTTTAAGGCCCCTTCCTGATAAACTGCTACAGCCACAGGAACGCCTTTCACACAACAGGAAGGGGTTACTAGAAATGTACATTCCCAGGTAACCGGCGTGTTCTGTCTAGCTGGCACTTAAGGCATTTCAAAGGCATCCCTGGTTTCTTAAAGAGAAATCATCTCAAAAAAAAGTCCTCCAAGTAATACTAAAAGCTAGAATCTAAACTAACTCCCTACCCAATTATTATAGTAGTCCTAACCCTCATCTCCACCCATCCCCATGTATTTTCAAATGGCAAGCACAAGCCTTCACGGTGAATTACAAAAAGACCTGTGGCGTGAGAATTCTCAGCTCCGTTTGGGAGCAGCAGGCTCGCCGGGCGCTCCCATGACAGGCAAAGCCGCGCCCACCATGGAGCCAACACTGCAGAGGGGAGCAAGGAGGCCTAGCCCCGCTTCCTTCCACGCCGCCTCTGCAACACTGGCAACGAATTAGCACCTGACCTAAGTATTTCTGCTTCTTGCTTCTATCTAAAGAAGTTCTTAGAAACCTACTCAAATTTTAGTCGGAGGAAGGGTCAGAGAAGCCTGCCGGAATGGAGTCGTGCCTAGTTCTGGACTACTGGGACTCCCTGAGGTCATCACAACTTACCAGCAATCTGCTCTTCGGTCAGCTGATCAGCCTACATAAAGAGAGAAGAGGTTATAACTCAGTGCGCAAGCGTTGATTGAGAGCAACAGTTTTCCCAATTATACTTTTGATACTGACCTTTCAAAAATCACTCTTTAAAAGAAAAAAGCCAACCGTGTGAAATTGTTAGCCATTAAATGAAAACAATGAGAATAAAGGGAACACTTTCTGCGATTTTAAAAAACAAAGGATGACAAAGAAGTGACAACATTTCACTTCAGGTCTTCTTTGCTGGGCCTCTGGCAGTGTGCTCCCAGGTCTAACAAGGGTCAGGTCATAATCTGAAAAATGGCACCTCTAGTGGAAGAAGGCCACACCACACCGGATGCAGCGGCAAGCTCGGAGAAAGAAGAGCGCCACCTACTGCGCCAGGGACTCTGCAGTCCCCCGCTTCCATCCGAGGATCCCAGCCTGACGCTGCTGTCACCACAGCCAGGATCCCAGCCAGGGGCAGGCTTTGAGCACACCTTGCGCATTGCTGCAGGCGCTCCAAAATCTCCAGATAGGCGTTACATAATGGCATTGGGTTGGATTAACAGCCTTTCCTATCTATTTTATGAGATACAATTAAGTGGAAAAAATAAATACACAGCAATGGGTTACCCCCACCGACCAACTTCATTTCCATGTAATAAATGCTTTCCATTTAAATTCGGCAATTATTTATTAAAAGCCTCCCATTTATAATGGCTGATGTCCTCAGTCAAATTATCTTTGATAAAGAAGCCAGGAAAAAATGCAACCACCCTACAACTGAGCTGTTTCAAAACTGCAAACCTTAAGTACACACAAAAGTACGTAATAATTAGGAGACTATACCTCGTCTTTTCTGGAAAAAGAGCAACTACCAACTTTGCTAGAGAATATTCACTCTACCAACTTTCAGTATGACATAAGGGCTGCCCGTAATAAACACACTTTACTCAGGTAGTGATGGCCATGAAGGTAATTCGCACTTGTATTGTCTGGTCTCTGCAACACGGAACCTGTGACCTGTGCCTCCAGCCAGGGGACTTGGAGAATGCAAGGACAACTAGCCTGTATTTTTATTTTAATAAAGTACACCTAATGAAGCCAGTTACAAAGTAAGTCCCAATAGAAAGCTAACCCTGTTATGTTTACGCTAATTCTTAAAATGAAAACTTTCCCAATAGATGTGGTGTTCCAATATAGGGATTTGGAGGAAAGCTTGTTTTTTCAAATTAGAATTGGGTCTTCCTTCCTTTCTACCCCAGTCACCGGAAGGCGGTTTTCTTTATATCGAATGAAGGAGACACGATGATTTACGTAACGCCAGAATAACATCTGTCTTTGTACAACAGGAAGCCCTGCCACACCTCGCACGAGGAGCTGTCACCTTACCGGGGAGAACAGTCCCACCTCACCGCAAAACTCTCTTGGTTAGAGAGCTTTTCGACAGCATCAGCCTTCCTCCATAAAGAAATACCCGGCCCCACATCGCTCTGGCCGAGAGGGTAAAGGTGCTCTGAACCTGTCGGGAGCCATCTCCCCATCCCGCCAAGCCAGAAAGCGCTGTGGGTGATGTCAGTCCAGCCCGCCCAGGGAGGAAGGGGGTTTGTAGAAAACACACCCAGCGAGGCGCACAGGCGCATCTGGCAATCTAGAGGCTGCAGAGAAAGCGGAAACGTGGAGGGCATCTCCCTGTGGACTGCAAAGTGGCGAGGGGCCAGGCAGGGGTGCGTGCCCCGAGAGCAGAAGGGGTGCGGAGGAACGAGGCAGGCCCAGGGCGGGGGCACCGCCCTTCCCTGGCCAGGACCACCCCCCACTCCCACCCCCGCTCCGGGACCGCGCGGCTAGAGGGGGCCAAGCCCGCCCCGCGCCTCCCACCCGCTTCTGCTCCCCTAGGCGGCGAGCCGCACCGCCGCCTCCTCCCGGAGCAGAAACTTTGCGTCTCTAATGGAAACCGAGCCGCGCGCCAGCTCCCTCCTCCCCCCCCCCCCCCCGCCCCAATTAGCGCGAGCCGAGTGCCTCCCGCGGGAAGGGACCTCCCGTTGTACCGAGGATCACGCACGCCTTCACTGCCGCACTGGGTGGGGGGCTGCAGGGGTGCGAAACAGGGGGACACGAGCCCCGGGCACACCGCAGGGCCCCGCCCGGCCGCAGGGCGGCCGGCCCGCCGCTTCCGCCCTCTCCGCCCCCCACCCCTCGCCTTCCTGCCCCCACCCCACCCTTCCCCGGCTCCTTCCTTCCCAGCCCACGCCCGCGCCGCGCCCCCCGGGAGGGTGGAGGGAGAGCTGCCGAGCCAGGGCGCCCAGCGGGGTCGCCGGGTGGGGGAGGAGGTGGACGCGAACTGCGCCCTCCAAGCCCCGGCCCGAGCAATGTGCGCCACCGGCTAGGTCGGGCCCATTCATTCTCCGCAGTCCGCCCGGCCCGCCGCCACCGTGCCTAGGGTGGAGGGGGGGTTGGGAAGGGATCGTGTGCCCGGCCCCGCCCGGCTCCCCCGCCCCCCGGGGCCCCGGCCCAGGCGCAGCGCTGCGGGAAGCCCGGGTGCGGCGCGCTGGATGCAGTGGTGCGGCGCTGGGGGAGGGGGTGGATGCGGAAGGCCCCGGTGCAGCTGCGGCCGGAGCCCCTGCCTGCGGACAGCCCACGGCCAAGTCCAGCTCCAAGAGGGACCAAAATTTAAATAAGAAACCCTGGCCGAGAAAAGCGAAATGCAAATCCAAAGCGCGTCCTTCTTAACTGCAGCTGCTGCGTAACACCCGGAAAAGAGGAAACCCCCCCGAAAAAAAGGGGGGGCGCTGAACTAAAAATTTGGTAAGAAATCATGGGCAGGCAGCTGCTACGCCGCCGTTTACCACTCCCGACCTACCATGGTGCGAGCGAAGGGAAGAAGAGCAGAGGGAGCGAGGGTGGCTGCACCCGCGCAGGGGCTGTGACGGCGGGGGCGCCTCCGCTGCTGCTGCCGCTGCTACTGCTAGGGCGCGATGTGCGCTCAGCGCTGTGCCGCTGCCGCCGCCCGAGTGCGAATAACGGCGCCGCGCCCGCGAGGCTCCCACCACCACTGCCGAAGTGCGAGCCTGCGCCCGGCCGTATATATAGGGCGCTCCGTATCCCTCCGCCACGGCCGCTGCCGGCTCGCTCGGAGCGGCGCTGTGAGGGC